CCCATCTCTCTCCCCCACTCCCCAGCCCGGCTCACTGATCTCACCTGCCGGGTGTGTGTGGTGTGTATTCCTGCCCATCACTCATCACGTTCAACCTCTGCAAACATGTACACACATACATGGTTGAAGCTGACACTTATGTTCTCAAAAATGGCTCTTTTCACTCACTATCACATCATGCGCAGCCCCTGTCCTACATCCATAGCTACACTCCTAACCCAATAGTTTCAATAGCTTCACACTATTCCACGTGCTGCAATTCTTCAGCCATTTTCCTATTAATGGACATTTGTGTAGTTCCCTCTCTGCCACTCAAGAATGACCACTAAATATTGGTCCACATGTCCTTATAAACGAATGTCTTAATTCTCAGAGGCCAGGCCAAGAGCCCTGCAAGGGGAGACTCAGCAGAATTTGGAGACATTCAAATAGGTTTCTAAAGTCATTTGTTAGAGTCCAAGAGATGAAAGTGGGCGCCATGGTGTTGAACTCTGGGTGAGTCCACTCACCATAGCAACTCCCGGGCTAATAGTAGCTACATTTTCTGAGTGTCTCGTCAGAGCCAGGAACAGTACCGGGCACTTTATGTACCGGGGTGGGCAAAAGTAGGTCTACAGGTGTTTGTATGGAAAATAATACAATAATTAATAAATACTAATACGAGAATAAACTCTGTGTTTTCTGTATTCACAACTGTAAACCTACTTTTGCCCACTCCAGTTTGTCAGCATTCTTCCCTTTCCCCATGTGATAGAGGAGACATCAGAAGCAGGTCATTTATCCAAGGTCAGACAGTTAGAATGACGGGGTTTCTCCCTGCCACCCAGGTCTCGTCTCCACTCCCCAACCCTCTCCCTTCCCAAGCTGTTCAAATAGGTTTCAAAGGCCATTCCCATTTGCAACATGCCAGCCCCTTCCCGAACACAGGCAAGGTCACAGAGAACAAAAAACATCTTGTCGGCTATTTTCTCTCTTCCCTTCCCAACAATAGCTTTATTAGTTTCCCTGGGGATGGCCAGCCCTGCACCAGCTTCTCACAGGCTCCCTGTCCCTGCTCACATGCCCCGGGGGCCCCAGAGTTCAGCACTGCCCAGTGGCATGAGCAGCCTCACATCCGGTGAGAAGGGGCCGATCAATTTTTGAAACCAGAGATCCCCACCCAGATAAGGGCCCTATTCATCTCTCCCAAGAAATCAAAATCAGTGGGGGTGGCCCAGTGCCCAGGCTGGGCGTTCTCCTGGGGGGTTGGAGGCAGAGCAGAGCGAGCCCAGATCAGCACCGTGTCAACCTCGTCTTCACGCCCGGGGATGGGGGAGCTGGGACCTGAGGGGTCAGGGCCACTTTCCAATGAAGGAGGCAATTCCCTCTACATTCGTGACGTTCTGGAGATTTAAATCCCGGCTCAGTAATAGAGAAGGCAAGGCCTGGAAGAGCCTGGAGGAGCAAATCAAGGACCAAAGAAGTCTGGGAAGATTTCAAGGAGGAGCTGGACCTCTGTGCCATGCCCAGAGGCTCTGCCTAATCTAGTTCTTGCCGACCTCTCCGTTTCATCAGGTGTTTCTCCCCCTCCCCATCCCAACCTCTGCCTACCAGCTGTTCTCCAACCCATGGGCCTTTCAGTTCTTTACTGCTT